TTCATTTCAACAAAGAAGAGAGACTATCAGGTCAAATTCATAGCCTTTGGAAACAGCTTGCCTGGGTTTGACTCCCAGCTTTACCACTATCTCATAGAATTTTGTCAAGCTACTTTTCACTTCATGAGTCAGGGCCGACCTGATGGCACATAACAGCAACACAACAACAACAGGCTTGAAATAGAAATAGCTCTGATCAGATCAGTAATGGGAAACATCTCCTTGATGATGAGGACTCCTATGAGTCCTTCTTTCCTTCACCTTCGTGTCTTTGGAGCTTTGCTTTTGGGCAAATTCTGTTCTTTTGGACTCATATGGTTGATTGTATTGAGTACATCCCTCTCTGGAGTTATTATTCATTTTATAAAACCAAACTCATTGCCATCAAGTCGATTGGGATTCATAGCAACCCCCATTGGGTTTCTGAGGCAGTAATTCTTCATGGAAATAGACTGCCTCATCTTCCTTCTGTGGAGTGGCTGATGGGTTTGAACTACCAACCTTCTGGTTAGAAGTCAAATGCCTTCGGCACTATGCCACCAGAGCTCCATTCACTTTATAGGCCTGTCTACCGCTTGGCCGAAAGTTGATGGGGTGGGTTTCCATTTCAGGCTTGAACAGTGTTAAAGGGCCACAGTCTCAGGGGTTTTCACCAGTCTCTATCAGACCAGTAAGTCTGATCTTTTTCTTGATTTTGAATTTTGTTTTACATTTTTTTTCTCCCTCTCTGTCCAGGATCTTCTATTATTGATGATAGTATGGTTACCATTTGCACAGTGCCTATGATCTACCTCCCCACAGCCCTGAGTCTAAGAGAGTCCCACTTTGAAATGAAAGAAAAAGAAGCTGGGATGGATAGGGCCATGAACAACTCACACACAATCCCATGAAACAATATCCAAACAGTTCTGTCTAAATCCAAAGTCCATATTATTTGCACTAGTATATGCTACCTACTCACATCATATAAAAACATAATATATAATCTAAATGACTTACTCTAATTAATGATAA